TACTGATAGAAATTAATCTTTTCCAATAAGTTTAAACTGATTTTTGCATTTTATGGGCATTTTTACCTTTATAAAGCCAATTTTTCTAAAAGTGTCCATTATCTTTTGAGTTAAATTCTTACATTTAATCAGGGAATTAGAATAATAAGACATTTGGGCTGTTACCAAGCAAATTAAATCAACACAGAAGCTGCATCTGAAGTGGCATTTAGATGCATTTACACGCATGTATTTTGTTTAATGCAAGACATGAATGCATTTAACCTGCATTTACAAATGCATAAATAATGTTTTGATATATTAAACATAAAAACGTTGAATACTGATATTTGAGATGATTGAAAACATGAAAAAAATCACAAAAAAAGTAATTGCGATTGAACCGAATCATTTGAACGGTTGATTCATTCAAGAACGAAACACCGTCATGTTGCTCAGAGACACAAAACAGCGCTGTGGCTGTATTCGGAATGATTTTTGTTGGCGAAATAGAGCAAAAACAAGCAATATGGTGTCTAAAATGTAAGTCTCTTAATTAACTTATTGTTTATTGAATTCAATGTCACATTTGTAATCATGGTAATTTTTGGAGAAAACCGGCACTCTTCGTGTGAAATTGAATAACTATATGAAGTGGTATAAATATATACATTTTCTGCCATCATGTCTTGAATTTGTGATCATTCTAAATGCATTTTAATAGACTGAATCGTGCAGTGAAAGAACGCACTCTAAATGCGCACTCGCACTAGTCTAGACTTCACGTAATGTATGCGTGCGCTCTGTAGGGGTGTTTTGAACGGTTTTTGCAAAATACTCGATAATGTCAAATCGCACATCGTTAAAACAACAATTTACGATATTATCGCAGATGATATATATCGCACACCCCTACTTATACGTCATTGACCCTAGTCTGTCTGTCTGTCTGTAAGGCCTATATTAATCTCAAGCCTTTGTCAAGCAAACATTTAAATTTGTCTTGATGAACCTGTTCTCTAGATACAGTATCATCAGATACAGCCTATACATTTAAACCTGAACATTTGAAATGCATCCCCTTTTGATTTTATAAAGAAAACTCCACACTTTATTGTCCTGTGATTCCTATTTTTCACTCTTTTTTTTTTCTTCTTTTTGTCAATTTCTCCACATCTCCCTCTTTTTAGAGGTAAAGGTGAGCCAGTCACTGAGTTGAGCTGGCCATCCTGCCGTCAGCTTCTGTACCAGTCGGTCGCCACAGTGCTCGCTCACATTGGATTCGAGTCGGTGAATGAGAGCGTGCTGGAGACTTTGACCGACCTGGCCCATGAACATTACCTGCGGATCACCAAATTGCTGCGCGTAGCTGTTGACAGGGAGGCCTGCCAGGGCTCTACACCCTTCCCTGATGTGGTGGAACAGGTATTCCATGAGTTGGGCATTGGCAGCGTCCTAGCGCTCCAGCACTTCTGGCAGACCCGCATTAAAGATTACCACAGCTACATGCTGCAGGTGAGATACGTCCAATGCTATGCCAGCTTCAGTACCTACAGGACTGTATGTGTATGGAGCTTATAATATGACAAAACTAATTTAATTTGTATAGTGTAAATTTGAATTATTGACAAGTGTCATTTAACAAAACTGAATATTATGTGGTATTTAACATAGTTCTGAATTAGATTTTATTTGAAATTTAAAGGGGTCATATGATGCTGCTAAAAAAAACATTATTTTGTGTATTTGGTGTAATGAAATGTGTTTATGCGGTTTAAAGTAAAAAAAAACACATTATTTTCCACATACTGTACATTATTGTTTCTCCTCTATGCACTGCCTTCTGAAACGCGTCGATTTTTACAAAGCTCATC